CTCGTGTGACGTTGCCTAATTTCCAATGTGTTTGGGCGACTTCGGCGAATACACACGGTCTCCAGTGATTTAGACGAGTTTCTATTGTGCCCTTAGACTTTGCAGAATGTCCAGTGCGTACTAGATGCGAACTAGTTAAACTTCCAGATTATTACAGTGTCGCAATACACATTTCGAGTATATTTCCATATTCTTGTCCGCATTCCGAGAGTTCCAGTTCTCATGCCAGATGCCACAGACTTAGTCGAAATTCGAGAGCAAGAAGAGCCCTAGCAGTGTTGGAATGTCTTGTATGCGAAAACATTAGGGCTGACGACACTCTCTTATACTGAATTATAAGGTACGATTTTACTCATGTCAAGGTCCTGAGAGTAACATGAACGTCAAACTCAATTTCACGGAGCGGGAAGTGACAAAACCACACTGAACAACAGGTCGAGCAAGGGAAAAACTCTATGAATTCCAGGGGCCTGGCTCCGATTCTTCCAGGGATTAATTCTGACAGCCCTACACGTATGCACCAATCACGCTGCTTCGTGCAACAAATGTGTTAGGCTGTTAGATGGGAACCCTAAACAGTTGGAGGATTTCATCCTGTCTTCACCGTTAGATTTCATCTAACGGGCATCCACTACTGCGCCCAGAAGATGGGAGAGTGCATGTGTGGAGTGGACGGACCTCTGCGCGCCGTAACATTATTAGGGATGGCGCGTGCCCAAATCGGGGAAAAAGGACACATTCACAACAGCCACCAAGTTACCGGTGAGAGTCTGACGCGTGGAATCGCTAGCCCCGAGAAGGTGTTCCACCTCGTCGTTCCGATGTTTTGATTGGCTCTCCCCCTGTTAAGGGGGATGTATCTTTGATGTCAGCAGATGGGGAACCAGACACCATTGCCAAAGAGCCCCGACAAGTGGGGCCCTCTGGCGAATGTCGTCCATGCGATTGAGACATCTTCCAGGTTCAGGTAGGTTAGGGTACGAGTAGCGAAAATTAACGAATGTGGCAACAACCTGCAAAGCAACTCGTGACCCATAGTAGCGTGGCTCCAAAGCACATATTCAGAAGTGGTGCTGCTTCCTCATAATTTCCCCAGTGGCACTCGCAACTCGAAGTCAGGAACATTCAGCCATGGCTCTTCCAAGCTTAGATAGTAAACTAGCCTTTCAGCCGATCTCCATGCCCTTTCCCTACGGCGGAGGCTGGCTCGACATAACCGTAGACCACGCCAATAGGCTGCGACCCGGTGAATGGGTCAGCGGAATCGTGATTGATTGGCTCGGTGTGTGAGTATCACGAATATAGACTCATTACACAGTGACAACACGGTTCTCTCATGCTTTTATTTTGGCGTTAATCTGCGCACTCGCAGGATGCTGCAGTACGAACTCGGTCGCAACCGCACAAAGTGGCTTTACACTGGATCCTATTTCTGGGACTACGCTCGGAAGGACACACCGAGGCCTGAAAACGCCTACACTTTCGGATTGGGAATATTCGAATTCACACATGTTCTAGTTCCGATTAATACCGAGTAAGTTCTCGCCGCGTCGTGCCGTTGCACCAGAAATAATTCGCAATGATAATGTCATTTTTAATGATGCTAGTCCTTGTTTGCGCATTAGGAGTCATTGGAGCTTGATCGTCATCGAGAGAATCCCGAGACCCGACGACACGATTCCCATGAACTGCGTGCTATGGCACGCTGACTCAAACGGTACCCATGACGGTGTTGACGCTCCGTTGCGCAGGTATTCGCTCTCAAATGGCAGTATGCTGTTGTCTCGTAACTCAAAACGGGGTAACTAAATAATTGAAGAACCATCATCCGATATGCAGGTATTTACGAAACGAGGTCGTAAAATGCTGTTCGTGGATCATTGATTCGGACACTGATGCATGGGCTGCGAGCATCCCGCTACGGCACGTCCAGGTGAGCGAAATTGCCTTGTTTGTACGAGCTCCGAGCCCATGCATCTCTTTTTCTGGCAACGCGATGTCCTCCACCAACCCCCAATTTCGGACGGGCCTTACACTGCCATAATTGACCCTGTGTGTCTTCAGATTCCAATGCAGGACAATGAGAACGACTGTGGTGTGTTCGCGATGCGTGTGATGCACACATTGGTCAAGGATGGTTTCCGTGACCTCCCTGCGTGTGAGCTTGTCGGTACGCCACTCAAATGGCGCCGTCAGTACCGTCGCGATTTGAGGAAGTGGTCTGTGTTTTTTCGGGGAAAGACGACGGTGGAGGTTAGAGGTGGGGCATGAGGCGGGTCTAAGCTGGTAATGGGGCGGGGAGCTTGGTGGAACGCGACTGGAATGAGAATGACAGGGTGAGCGAAGGGGGATGAGGCTGATAGCAAAGGGGGAGTGAGGCAGGTATGAAGTGGGGATTGAGACGGGTAGCAAGGGAGATTGAGGCGGGTAGCAAGGGGGAATGGGGCGGGTAGCAAGGGGGAATGAGGCAGGTAGCAAGGGGGAATGAGGCGGGAAGCATGGGGGAATGAGGCGGGAAGCATGGGGGAATGAGGCGGGAAGCATGGGGGAATGAGGCAGGTAGCAAGGGGGAATGAGGCGGGTAGCAAGGGGGGATGGGGCGGGTAGCAAGGGGGAATGAGGCGGGTAGCAAGGGGGAATGAGGTGGTTAGCAAGGGAGAATGGGGCGGGTATGAAGTGGGGATTGAGGCGGGTAGCAAGGGAGATTGAGGAGGGTAGCAAGGGGGAATGGGGCGGGAAGCATGGGGGAATGAGGCAGGTAGCAAGGGGGAATGAGGCGGGTAGCAAGGGGGAATGGGGCGGGTAGCATGGGGGAATGAGGCGGGTAGCATGTGAGAATGAGGTGGTTAGCAAGGGAGAATGGGGCGGGTATGAAGTGGGGATTGAGGCGGGTAGGAAGGGAGATTGAGGCGGGTATCATGGGGGAATGAGGCGGGTAGCAATCGGGAATGAGTTTGGTAGCATGGGGGAATGAGGCAGGTAGCAAGGGGGAACGAGGCAAGTCGCAAGGGGGAATGAGCAGGGTAGCAAGGGGGCATGAGGTGGATAGCAAGGGGGAATGAGGCAGGTAGCAAGGGGGAACGAGGCAGGTAGCAAGGGGGAATGAGGCTGGTAGCAAGGGGGAATGAGGCATAGGCAGGTAGCAGGGAGCAGGAGGGGATGAGGCGGGTAGCAGGTCTCAGCATAGGGTGAACTTATTGGGCCTATGTTGTCAAACAAGACCTATAAGGAGGATCTGTTTGTCCCACCGTCCAGTCCATGGTGACAAGCCAACAAGCAAGTCACAGAACGCGTGGGTGAGGCTTCGAAACAGTCCCCATCACTCACGTGACCAAACATCAAGTGTTTGTCACCTCCTGTCAAGCATGAAATAAGAACATACAACACATCAAGCAATTTATTTATGCACTATAGCTGCCCTACAGGACAATAGTGCAGACACGCCCCATGATGGGAGTTTGTGTTGGAAACAATCGGTCCTAAGCGCCTGTGTCGTGTCGAAACACTAAGACACAAACGAAGCAAAACACTACGGTATCGAAGCACCAGCGAGTCAACCCTCGGAGGTTGAAGTAACTGTCGGAGGTTACGCGAAGGTCAAAGGTCAGCGACCTTTGACCTGACAAGTACAGCGCAACAGTAAGGACACACAACTGACTCGCTGCAGAGCAGTTGCCCGAGTCGTCACTGTATCGAACCGCAACAGCAACAGTAAAGTAGTTGCAACCGTATCTCTTCGTATTCCTTGTACTATTATATAATCTTGTATCTCTTTGCTTTGATCAACTTACTTTGCCCTCACATACTAGCGCAAGGTGGTTCACAACACTTTAATTAACGCTTCCGCTACTACACCAAGTCTACCCAGAGTTCACCCCTGCAAAGATCCTAAAGGCTTTTCAGCCCAACTGTTTGTGTATGGCACTGGTAATGTTGCACCACAAATGACATACCAGTAGCTACCTTGTTGCGACACCAATATATTATTTACCTAGACCATATTTAAACAACAATCAAGGTAACAGGGTCACTGCTCTCCTTAAAAAATTTGACAGTTGGTCCGTGAAGGATGTGTCTGGTTATGCACTGTCGGTGCTCATACTTGTGAGTAAACGTACGGTATTGGACAGCTCTACATTCCTTTGGTAGTAATGATTTATATGTTCTTTCAACACTGTATTGCAGCCTTGCAAATAAATGTGTCATTTTGTGCCCCCCGTGCGCCATACCACTTACCTCAGTTCATTGCCACGAACGTTGTTCTCTCCGACTTGCGACCCAATCGCCACCACTCACAACTAACTCCCGAGCATGCGTTCTTATCGCAGGTGTTCCATAACGGCTTCGTATCAGACTGTCGCATCGCTATACGAATTGCGCCAATGGTTCGTCCCCGTTTCTCCGAAGTGGCAATTTTACTATTGACGTGACGCCTGCGCCAAGCTTCGTGCGGCACGCGTGGAAGACTATGAAAATTAGCCACATAAAGTCCGTGCGGGCAGAATAGATATCTTTCGTGAGCCCTAATACACTAGCGCACGTTTAAGCACTAGCAACATTTTGTATCGCTCCCTGCCGCTAATGGACGGATAAACGCCCACTCCCACTGAATCATGCCCCATTGGAGCCGCAATTTTTTTATGGATGCACGTTAACCTCCGTGTGATTGGTTGTTGGGGGAAACGAGGGACCTGGATGTCGCAAGGTGGAACAGAGCAGGAAACACTCAAACCCTCGTCACCTCCGTGCTCCTCTTGCGTGCCTGCTTGTGGGACGGTCATCTGCTCCAGGCCCCTATCTGATCCTCGTCCCTTCTATGCTCAAAACGTTTTTAGTGCGCGAAGCGTAGCTGTTAGGTTGCAACGTCATAACTAACCCACACCTCAGACTACTGCGTGAATGGAAACCTAGACATTGCAATGGGTAGTCAGACGATTAAGGGGCCCGATGGGGCGATCGTTTAGGCAGACTCGTCGAAATTGTCGGAGGAAAAAATTTATATGGAGTTAGTTACAGTAGATAAAACGGCCGAGATCGTTAACGAGTACCGCAAGTACAATGCGTCGTCGGCGCGTGATGACGTTGAGTCAGGACGGGACTCTTCATCTGGTGACGAATCAAATAGCGACGGCGATGTTGGGCCATACGCTAACAAGGGCGTGTCCTCCCCTCCAAAACCAAGGGAGAGGCGCGTGAGGCGCTTAGATGACATCGGTCCCAAAGCCGGCCAGAAAGGTACGTGTCTTTGGTACCATCTGCTGAAAGGTAGACCTGCATGATTAATTACCTCCGACCGATCCAGTAAGTTTGGTTTGCCGTCGTGTTTGACTTGTTCCCGTTACTGAAGCTCCGATTGTGCTCCCCCGTAACATTGTCAGAGGACAAGCGTGACAACCGAAAAGGGCGTAAGCGCCGTCAACAAAAGAGAGGCACTACTTCACATGCTGCGTCTGAAGGCGACGAGGAGGTCGAGGACGGCGGACCCGTCAAAGAAGGTGCGTGTTTGTGTAATATCGCCGGTTTCTAAGTAGCACGTTACTCCCTGCATCGACTGATCATACTGATGCCACTTCGTGCAATTAAGGTTAGCGCGCACTGGACTGCTAATGTTCTTGTGATGTCCGCCCTCGCAGCTCCGTCAGCAGGCAGGCGTGCAGGACAACGCGGTAGATGTTATGACCGTAGCGGGAGGGCTGCGGAGTATCATGGCAATCCATCTGGCCGCCTAGGAATATCTGCGCGTGGCGACGAGCAGGAACATGGTGAGCTTGAAGGGCGTGGTGGTGGAAAGCGCAACAACGCGAAGGCGGCGGCGGCGGCTAAGGGCAGTCCCTCGGGGAGGCTCTCGGAGGACGTGGCTGGTGGCGACGAGCAGGAACATAGCGAGCTTGAAGGGCGTAGTGGTGGAAAGCGAAACAACGCGAAGGCGGCGGCGGCAAAGGGCAGTCCCTCGGGGAGGCTCTCGTAGGAGGTGGCTGGTGGCGACGAGCAGGAACATGGCGAGCTTGAAGGGCGTGGTGGTGGAAAGCGCAACAACGAGAAGGCGGCGGCGGCGGCCAAGGGCAGTCCCTCGGGGAGGCTCTCGCTGGATGTGGCTGGTGGCGACGAGCAGGCGCTGCCCAGGCCCGTTATAGAAGGTTGGCGGTTCTTGGCTACTTCTGTCGTTGATTTTGAGGTTGCATAGCCTTCGCTGCCACCCTCCTTGTATATTGTTACCTGTTGCACCAGCAACTATGTCGTGAGTGACGTGACACCGAGATTGTCTCTCTCATATCCCTCTCGCTGCAGGGCTAGCAGAGCAGCGAGGTGGTGGCGGTATCGATCAGGATGAGGACAAGCCGGCAGCAGTGACTGCTGGGAAAGAACATGGACGTGAAGCTGTGATTCCGTACAAACGACGCAATGCTGTGGACTCGGCCGGTCGCGACCGAAATGCAAGACAAGCTCGACAAGGGACGAAACAGTATGTTTCGAGCTCGTCGGGTTCGGAGGAGGGATCCAACGACAGTGAGTCAGGCAGCTCATCCGGGAGTGAGGAACTATACGAGGACGAGGAGGAGGAGGAAGAGGAAGAGGAGGATGAGGAGTTGGAGCCGGAGAGCGAGGATGAGGAGGAGGCTCGGCCTTTGAAGAGGAGGGGTGTGCGGAAGACCAAGAAGGGCAATGGAAAGCGAAAATCGGAGACAGGACGGGTGAAGAGCTATAAGCAGAGTGTGCGTCGTGCCAAACCACATGGCAAGCGCCAGAGACCTCGATTCGAAGCTAAAATTGTGGGTGTGCGTAGCAAGGAGAAGCAGGAGTTGGATTTTTACGAGTTCATGGGGCAACGATGTCCATCAAGCCCTCATGATCGGAAAGCCACCGACACGTATGCTGCGTTACGTGAGCAGATGGATTCGTCTGGGAAGGGAGATCCGATCGCTTGGGGGTCAGCGCGGTTTGGCAGGGAAGCGACGGACCCGCATGCAAAGCTTTCGGGGGGTCACGCGGTTCAGGTAAAAATCGAGGGAGCAACGAAGCGGCACGAACCCTCGGCCGCCGCAGCAGCCAATGATGGTGTGGGAGGAGGTGTGTGGGCGAATTCCTTGGGTGAATGTGGCGGCGGTGTGGAAGGCTCCATGTGGGATGTACGGGATAGCAGGGGAGAAGGAGGAGACTTGAAAATGGATCCGGCGACTAAGGAGGGGAGGGGCGAGAGCATGGGCACACCTGGCGCATCCAGTCGGCCCAATGTGGCTGGCGGCAACACGGTGGAGCAGCTCATGCGGGAGCTTGCCCAGCGGGATCGTAAAATTGCGGCACTCAAGGCAAGGCCAGGAGCCAAAGGACCTGTCAAACCCTGCACCCCTCCGTCTAGGCCTCCTCGTATTGCGTCTCTGTCGAGCGGCCCATCTGCAGCAGCCCTCTCTGTCATCCCTATGCGCCCAATCCCTTCTTTCCGCTTGCTCCCCCCCCCCCCCCCCCCCTCTCTATCCCACCCCTCCCCCTCCTCTTCCAGAGCCCCTCTAAACAGTGCTGCTGGTCTGGTGTGGGTGGCATGCGGCACAGAGATAGCAGCAGCACTCTCTGTCATCCCCACGTGCCCAATCCCTTCTTTCCGCTTGCTCCTCCCCCCCCCTCTCTATCCCACCCCTCTCCCTCCTCTTCCAGAGCCCCTCTAAACAGTGCTGCTGGTCTGGTGTGGGTGGCATGCGGCACAGAGATAGCAGCAGCACTCTCTGTCATCCCCACGTGCCCAATCCCTTCTTTCCGCTTGCTCCTCCCCCCCCCTCTCTATCCCACCCCTCTCCCTCCTCTTCCAGAGCCCCTCTAAACGGTGCTGCTGGTCTGGTGTGGGTGGCATGCGGCACAGAGATAGCAGCAGCACTCTCTGTCATCCCCACGTGCCCAATCCCTTCTTTCCGCTTGCTCCCCCCCCCCCCCCCCCCCCCCCCCCCCTCTCTATCCCACCCCTCTCCCTCCTCTTCCAGAGCCCCTCTAAACGGTGCTGCTGGTCTGGTGTGGGTGGCATGCGGCGCAGAGATAGCAGCAGCACTCTCTGTCATCCTAACGTGCCCAATCCCTTCTTTCCGCTTGCTCCCCCCCCCCCCCCCCCCCTCTCTATCCCACCCCCCCCCCCTCCTCTTCCAGAGCCCCTCTAAACGGTGCTGCTGGTCTGGTGTGGGTGGCATGCGGCGCAGAGATAGCAGCAGCACTCTCTGTCATCCCCATGTGCCCAATCCCTTCTTTCCGCTTGCTCCCCCCCCCCCCCCCCCCCCCCCCTCTCTATCCCACCCCTCTCCCTCCTCTTCCAGAGCCCCTCTAAACGGTGCTGCTGGTCTGGTGTGGGTGGCATGCGGCGCAGAGATAGCAGCAGCACTCTCTGACATCCCCACGTGCCCAATCCCTTCTTTCCGCTTGCTCCTCCCCCCCCCTCTCTATCCCACCCCTCTCCCTCCTCTTCCAGAGCCCCTCTAAACGGTGCTGCTGGTCTGGTGTAGGTGGCATGCGGCGCAGAGATTGCAGCAGCACTCTCTGTCATCCCCACGTGCCCAATCCCTTCTTTCCGCTTGCTCCTCCCCCCCCCCTCTCTATCCCACCCCTCTCCCTCCTCTTCCAGAGCCCCTCTAAACGGTGCTGCTGGTCTGGTGTGGGTGGCATGCGGCGCAGAGATTGCAGCAGCACTCTCTGTCATCCCCACGTGCCCAATCCCTTCTTTCCGCTTGCTCCTCCCCCCCCCTCTCTATCCCACCCCTCTCCCTCCTCTTCCAGAGCCCCTCTAAACGGTGCTGCTGGTCTGGTGTGGGTGGCATGCGGCGCAGAGATTGCAGCAGCACTCTCTGTCATCCCCACGTGCCCAATCCCTTCTTTCCGCTTGCTCCTCCCCCCCCTCTCTATCCCACCCCTCTCCCTCCTCTTCCAGAGCCCCTCTAAACGGTGCTGCTGGTCTGGTGTGGGTGGCATGCGGCGCAGAGATAGCAGCAGCACTCTCTGTCATCCCCACGTGCCCAATCCCTTCTTTCCGCTTGCTCCCCCCCCCCCCCCCCCCCCCCCCCCCTCTATCCCACCCCTCTCCCTCCTCTTCCAGAGCCCCTCTAAACGGTGCTTCTGGTCGCGTGTGTGGCATGCGGCGCCAGCGTGTAGCGGGCCGGGCTGCAGCGGGGGTTGTGACTCTTAGTACGAGGAGAACATGACCCCTTACGCAGTCCGTACGGTGCTCTCACACTCAACTCCCTCTCCCATATGATTTCACTCAGACTAGTTCATCCCCTCTCTCCCCCCTCTATCTCCCTGCTCTCCCCTACCTCAACCAGAGCCCCTGTTCATGGTGCTGGTGGTGGTGTGGGTGGCCTGCGGCACGTGTTACCCAAATCCCACTCTCTCGACCTCTGGTTTCCGCCCTTCTTTGGGAGTCACCCACATATCCTTTTTTCCTATCCATCCGGCTGTCGTAGGTTCATTTCGCAGAGGGGCGGGACCGGATGTGCCTCGAGGCGCCAGACCATGCCATAGACTTCTACCCAACGCTCGAACAGCGCGTGCAGGTGTTGTATGAGGTTATCAGCGAGACGCACATCATCAACATGATGCAGCTGCGAGAGGCTACGGAAGACAAAAACATCATAGGCGCTTTTAAACGCGCCTGGACGTCATGGAAGAGCGAACGTGGCTTCCACCTCAAGCGCAGAGTGCTCGTCACTTTCGGCAACAAGGTGGAAGGCCTGCGTGCAGCCGAACTGTGGATGGGCACCAAGAAGAAGCGGAAGATGTGGAAAAAATACCAACCGAGTGAGTACTTGCGTGACTGTTTTCCATCCCCTATTGACATGTCTGCTCATGCACCCCTCGTGCATGCCCCACGTTGATGAAGCACGTACCCCCAATGCATCCCCACTTTGGCACGCGACTACATACCTGCTCTCCTCGCCCAAGCTTGTAGCGCATGTGCAAACACATCCGCATGACAGCCATCCGTTGGTTCTTCTCCCACACTCCCCTTCTCCCGCCCCCCGTTTAACTCCCGCCCTCCTCTTCTCTCCCGCCACCCCCTTCTCTCCCGCCCTCCCTTCCTCTACCGCCCTCCCCTTCTCTCCCGCCCTCCCCTTCTCTCCCGCCCTCCCCCTATCTCCCGCCCACCCCTACTCTCCCGCCCTCTCGCCATTCATTCCCCCCCGCCCTCGATGTTCATCCATACCCTTTGGACAACCCTAAACCATGAGTCATGCATGATCACGGATGTCTCATGCTTCCCCGCATTCTCATACATGCGCGCAGGAGGGAAACAGCGGGTCAGCTCGTGGGGAAACAACAGAGACGGGCTCCCGTTTGCCAACGGCCGGTTTGTAGATGCGGCCCGGGAAGCATTTCGGAATTTCTGTGTCGGGCGCCGGGTGTGCGTCAAAGCATACCACATTGCCTGGTCAATCATGGTGGTACGCAATTATTGCTCAACCCATGGTATGCTCTAGCTTGGCATGCTGTTTTATAGTCCCTCGGCATGGTATGTGGGGCATTTAGCGCAGCCTCTAAACTCTGCACGCGAGTGTCCACTGAAGTTGGTGTTTTTCCTCCATCCCATACTGTGCTATGCCTTTTCAGATTGACCAGGGCCTATCAAAGGTTAAGAGGACTGACTGGAACGTCTCCAACTCCCACCGGAAGAACAGTGAATGGATGGGGGGTTTGCACCGTAATGTGCGGTGGATTATCAAGGACCACTTCACACGCCACACCCCCATGTACAACACAGACGTGAAGGGCTTCAAGTGGGGCGACCGTGGGCTGTATGTTCACGAGTCAGGATTTGAGGCCTTCCGGGGGAAGGCTGAGCTTGATGCCGAAACGAAGGACCTGAAGGAGGAAGAAAAGGAGGTGTACGACTCGCAGGACATGGAGGAGGATAAGGAGGAGGAGGATGAGGAGGAGGAGGAGGAGGATGACGAGGAAGAGGACGAGGAGGAGGAGGAGGAGGAGGAGGACGAGGAACAGTGGGGGCAGGAGCGGAGGAAGAGGAAAAGGTACGAGAGACCTAGGGCAGGCGGAAGGGATGAGGAAGAGGATGAGAAACGGGGGGGGGAAGAGCTTAGGAAGGGCAGAAGGCACAAGGGAGGGAAAACCAGGGGAGGCAGGAGGGAAGCGGACGAGGAAGAGGAGAAGGAAGAGGAGCTGGGGGATAAGAAACAGGGGGGGCAGGAGCGGAGGAAGGGCAGGAAGCACAAGAGAGGCAGAGGGCAGGGAAGCAGGAGGGAAGAGGAAGTGGAGGAAGATGAGGAAGAGGAGGAGCAGGAGGATGAGAAACAGGGGGGGGCAGTCGCGGAGGAAGGGTAGAAAGCACAAGAGAGGCAGAGGCAAGGGAAGTTGGAGGGAAGTGGAAGAGGAGGAAGAGGAGGAAGAGGAGAAAGAGGAGGAAGAGGACGAGGATGAGGATGAGAAGCAGGGGGGCCAGGAGCGGAGGAAGGGCAAAAGGCACGAAAATGGCAAAAGAAGGGGAGGCAAGAGGGCGAAATGATGGTGTGACGAGACAAGGGGGGCTGCAAATGAGGCATGCGTGGAGTTTGCAAAAGGGGACAGCAGGAGAGGCATCACATACGTGCGAGGAGAGGCATTGGTGGAGACAGCAAGGGGGGCATCAGGGAAGGCACGTGTGGATAGAGAAAGGGGGACAGCATTACGGAGGGGAGTGGTGCAAGGGCCGCAGCAGTATAGGCATGACCGGATAGGACAAAGCAAGCAGCAGTAAAGGCTTGACTGGAGGATGTCTAAGGCGGAGCAGCAGACGCATGACAGGGCTGGACATGCGAGGAAGCAGTGGACGCATGGGCAGGGCAATAGTACCACAATTAGTGAAGGAGGGATGGGAGATGCAGGAAGAGAGGCAGGAAGTGGGGTCGCAGCCAAGGCATGGATCATGGGGGCTAGGTGTAGGGGCGAGCATGCTCGGCCTAGAGCACGAGACATGGGGTGTAGTGGGAGGCATAGTGTACGGGAGCATGAGAAGCAGGTTGATGCAGATCACCCTAACTGGCGGGGATCTTTGACTAGAGAGGGTGGGGTGTAGGTTGCTGTTGTATGTGCCTTTTTTGTTGAGAATAAAACCCATTTACCAACGCTTCTGTAATGGTCATTTTGGATGCTAGGATGAGGCAACTAAACATCTTGTTAAACAACATGTTAACCATTGCAAGTCTCCAATCCAACTTCATTATAACTAAACTGGATGTCCTTGGAGAGTACAATGCAATGAGATCCAATCTCCGAAATTGCTCTGCGGAAACTCCAACCAAACTTCTGCTGAAGGTTTTCACCTGAGAGGTTTGAACAGAGAAGCATCGCAGAAGCATGCGAACAGCGTTCGACAAAGCATCCAGAAAAAGGTATATACTTTCTCAAAATAGCGTACCAAACAAGACGTTTATAAATCATTTAACAAAGCTTTAAAGCAACTCTTTCCAAAGGTTTTCTGGACGCAGGATTTTTGTGATGTACTCCCAGGAACGCATTGTTGTACTCCGAGGAACGGACCTTTTGACTCCCAAGAACCCACCTTTGGACTCCCGAGACAGACCTTTTTACTCCTACGAACGCACCTTTTGACTCCCAGGAACAAGTCTTTTACCTCTCTGGAAGGCACCTTTTGAGTCCCAGGAACACACCTTTTGACTCCCAAGAACGCACCTTGTGACTCTCAAGAATGCACCTTTTGACTTCCAGGAACGCATTTTTTTACTCCCAGGAACGCATTTTTTTACTCCTAGGAACGCACCTTTTGACTCCCACGAACGCACCTTTTGACTCCCAGGAACGCACCTTTTGACTCCCAGAAACGCACCTTTTGACTCCAAGGAACGCACCTTTTGACTCCCAAGAACGCAACTTTTGTTTCCTAGGAATGCACCTTCTGACTCCCAGGAAAACACCTTTTGACTCCCAGGAACGCACCTTTTGACTCCCAGGAACGCAACTTTTGACTCTCAGGAACGCACCTTTTGACTCCCAGGAACGTATTGTTCTACTTAGAGGAACGGGCCTTCTGACTCCCAAGAATGCACATTTTGACTCCCGAGAACACACCTTTTGACTCCTACGAATGCACCTTTTGACACCTATGAACGAATCTTTTACCTCCCTGGAAGGCACCTTTTGAGTCCCAGGAACACACCTTTTGATTCATAGGAACGCACCTTGTGACTCCCAGGAATGCACCTTTTGACTTCCACGAACGCATTTTTTTACTCCCAAGAACGCATTTTTTTACTCCTAGGAACGCACCTTTTGACTCCCAAGAATGCACCTTTTGACTCCCAAAAATGCACCTTTTGACTCCCAAGAACGCACCTTTTGACTCCCAAGAACGCACCTTTTGACTCCTACGAACGCATTTTTTTACTCCTAGGAACACACCTTTTGACTCCCAAGAATGCACATTTTGACTCCCAAAAATGCACATTTTGACTCCCAAGAACGCACCTTTTGACTCCCAATAACGCACCTTTTGACTCCCAGGAACGCACATTTTTACTCCCAGGACCGCACCTTTTTACTCCCATAAACGCACCTTTTGACTCCCAGGAATGAACCTTTTGACTCCCACGAATGCACCTTTTGACTCCCAAGAACACACCATTTGACTCCTAGGAACGCAACTTTTGACTCCCAAGAACGAATCTTTTGACTCCCTGGAAGGCACATTTTGAGTCTTAGGAACACACCTTTTACTCTCGGGTATGCACCTTTTGACTTCCAGGAACGCATTTTTTTACTCACAGGTACGCATTTTTTGACTCCTAGGAATGCACCTTTTGACTCCCAAAAAAACACCTTTTGACTCCCAAGAACACACCTTTTGACTTCTAGGAACGTATTTTTTTAATCCCATGAATGCATTTTTTGACTCCCAGAACGCACCTTTTGACTCCCAAGAACGCACCTTTTGACTCCCAGGAACGCACCTTTTGACTTTCAAGAACGCACCTTTTGACTTTCAAGAACGCACCTTTTGACTCCCAGTAACGCACCTTTTGACTTTCAGAAACGCACATTTTGACTCTCAGGAACGCACATCTTGACTCCGAGGAACGCACCTTTTGACTCCTAGGAAGGCACCTTTTGACTCCCAAGAACGCACCTTTTGACTCCCAGGAACGCACCTTTTGACTTTCAGGAACACACCTTTTGACTCCCAGTAACGCACCATTTAACTCCCAGGAACGCACCTTTTGACTCCCAGGACGAACCTTTTGAGTCCCAGGAACACACCTTTTGACTCTTGGGAATGCACCTTTTGACTTCCAGGAACGCATTTTTTTACTCCCAAGAACGCATTTTTTGACTCCCAGGAATGCACCTTTTGACTCCCAAGAACGCACCTTTTGACTCCCAAAAAAACACCTTTTGATTCCCAAAACGCACCTTTTGACTCCCAAGAAGGCACATTTTGACTCCTAGGAACGCACTTTTTGAGTCCTAGGAACGGACATTTTGATTCCCATGAACGCACCTTCTGACTCCTAGGAACACAACTTTTAACTCCCAGGAACGCACCTTTTGACTCCTAGGAACGCACCTTTTGACTCCCAGGAACGCACCTTTTGACTCCCAAGAACGCAACTTTTGTTTCCTAGGAATGCACTTTCTGACTCCCTGGAAAACACCTTTTGACTCCCAGGAACGCACCTTCTGACTCCTAGGAACGCACCTTTTGACTCTAAGGAACCCACCTTTTGACTCCCCAGAACGCACCTTTTTATTCCCAGGAACGCTCGTTTTGACTCCCAGGAACGCACCTTTTGACTCCCAGGAACGCACCTTTTCACTCCCGGGAACACACCTTTTGACTTCCAGGAACGCATTTTTATACTCCCTGGAACGCATTGTTGTACTCCGAGGAACGGACCTTTTGACTCCCAAGAACCCACCTTTGGACTCCCGAGACAGACCTTTTTACTCCTACGAACGCACCTTTTGACTCCCAGGAACGAGTCTTTTACCTCTCTGGAAGGCACCTTTTGAGTCCCAGGAACACACCAGTTGACTCCCAAGAACGCACCTTGTGACTCTCAGGAATGCACCTTTTGACTTCCAGGAACACATTTTTTTACTCCCAGGAACGCATTTTTTTACTCCTAGGAACGCACCTTTTGACTCCCACGAACGCACCTTTTGACTCCAAGGAACGCACCTTTTGACTCCCAGGAACGCACCTTTTGACTCCAAGGAACGCACCTTTTGACTCCCAAGAACGCAACTTTTGTTTCCTAGGAATGCACCTTCTGACTCCCAGGAAAACACCTTTTGACTCCCAGGAACGCACCATTTGACTCCTAGGAACGCAACTTTTGACTCTCGTTAACGCACCTTTTGACTCCCAGGAACGTTTTGTTCTATTCAGAGAAACGGACCTTTTGACTCCCAAGAACGCACCTTTTGACTCCCGAGAACACACCTTTTGACTCCTACGAATGCACCTTTTGACACCTATGAACGAATCTTTTACCTCCCTGGAAGGCACCTTTTGAGTCCCAGGAACACACCTTTTGATTCCTAGGAACGCACCTTGTGACTCCCAGGAATGCACCTTTTGACTTCCAGGAACGCATTTTTTTACTCCCAGGAACGCATTTTTTTACTCCTAGGAACGCACCTTTTGACTCCCAAGAATGCATCTTTTGACTCCCAAAAATGCACCTTTTGTCTCCCAAGAACGCACCTTTTGACTCCCAAGAACGCACCTTTTGACTCCCACGAACGCATTTTTTTACTCCTAGGAACACACCTTTTGACTCCCAAGAATGCACATTTTGACTCCCAAAAATGCACCTTTTGACTCCCAAGAACGCACCTTTTGACTCCCAAGAACGCACCTTTTGACTCCCAGGAACGCACATTTTTACTCCTAGGACCGCACCTTTTTACTCCCATAAACGCGCCTTTTGACTCCCAGGAATGAACCTTTTGACTCCCACGAACGCACCTTTTGACTCCCAGAAACACAACTACATCACAAAAATGTGTGCGTCTGAAAATCATCTGACCATTTTTTTTTTAAGCAAGCTTCAGAAAATCGTTTGACAATCATCTAGGAATCATCTACGAATCGTCTGTATAGCATTCTTGTCCGACCAAACGTTTTGGTGATGTTTTAGTAATGGTTTCGCGGTGTTACCATGGAATGTTTGTTAGATGTTAATTGTTGAGACAATAATAAGGTGGCTTAAAATCGTGTTTCACAATAAAAAAAGGTTATGGTAAATTGACATAGTTGCTACTTTATTTGCATCACCAGATGAACCTATTGAGCAGCTTCACAGCAGGGTCTTTGCAGCACGGGACAACATGCACGATGCCAAGAATGCAATCTGCATCTACAACTGCATAGTTGAAGGTGCCCTTCGTGGGCAACAGACGTTTGCAGCCAGTGTACCGGCAGACTCGCCGATCCTCCGTGTAGTACTCGATGTAGGCGGCTTTTTTTGCCACGCCATCTTTAACGTAATGGAACAGCATCAAGCAGCGGCCGTACCAGTTGGCCCCTTTGCCAGCTGGATTTATGGCTACATCTGAAAAGTGCCTGTCGGAAGGGCTTGCTTTGACAAACTGCCCCTTCTCGGTCCACTCCATCCTGTCGTGCGGTGGGATTGCCATGGCAGTGTGCACCTGCGAATAGGCAAGCAGGGGTCGCAGCACAACAATGGAAGTTTGTGTTAGGGTTGAGACAATGGGGTGCTGACGAGTGCGTGGATACTACAGGGTGCCATGCCTGGGTTTGTGTAAGTTAAGGAGGTTGATGTCCCGCGTTTAACAGGTCTACGTGGCAGTGGCAGTTGATTCTCACATTGATACTCCCGCATTGAGCACCATATTGATTCTCACATTGAGCACTTGGTCGTGAATTCCCTCCCTGGCCAGCCACTTCTTCAAGTAGCCCATCGCTTCATCTCCGTGAACAAGGACATAGCTCCTGAACACATCATCCGTGATGTGCCCCACGGTCATCTTCTTGTGTGTCTTAGTCAGCACCCGACGCCCAAGCGTGCAAGCCTGGGTAGGAGGGTGATGGGTGCATGGTGTACATGGGGGGCAGCAGGAGAGGGGCAGCACTTGAGTACAACAGGGGCAGCAGTGAGAGGGAGCAAAGATTAGGGACCAGTCGGTTAGTATAGCGGGGCAGTTCCAGAGGTCAAAGGGTGCAGCAAGAGGAGGGAGCATAGGCGGACAAGTGTAGATCAAGGGAGGGCAAAGGAAACACAAACGGCAGGAGGGAATGGGAAGTGCCGGGGATGGACATGGAGGAGGATGGGGGGGGGGGGGGGAACCGAGGGGGCGACGTGTTTAGCAGCACGAAGGTATATGGTGGATTAGTAGGGGAGCATTGGGGGCTGAACGACGGATAGTCCCACGGGGGCCGGGGGAGGGGCATGGGTGGATAAGTGGGAAAGCATGTGGGGCAAGACGGAATGTGAAGGGTGGCAGCTAGTGGAAGGAGCGATGGGTGGACAAGAACGCGAGCATGTAGATGCAAAACGGGATGTCAAGGGGGGCAGCGGGAGAGGCATTTCATGGGTGGACATGATGGTGAGCACGTGGATGCTAGAAGGGATGTCTAGGGGGGCAGCGGGAGGAAGGGAACATGTAGGGTCTAAACAAAAACACGAGGTGATCGAGGGTTTCATGCGGCAGGAGCAGGCGGGGAACATTGGTGGGCAAGATCGGCCTTAGGTCATACACAGGCTCACCTCCTTCATGGCTGTCTCGTATGTTTTGTCCCCGCCGGAGGCTCGAGACAGCTGTCGAACAACGGCTTGCTCGATATGCTTCTTCACAATGCGATCCTCCACACCCTTCCAGTTGGTGCCGCGAGAAGGGCGCTTCACTGTTGTCTTGTGGGACTGCTCGTACCGGTTCGACGAGTACTCCTGTGGCAATCCCCGTGCACGGATCGTCGGCGGGAGGTGCGATACAAGATGCACCTTGATAATAAGCCACTTCGACTTCTGGTTGTCGAATGCTAGAACAAGCGCATCGACCATCCTGGATAGGACGTGTTTGGGTGGATTGAAAGGTTCGGGATTGGGGCATTGGGTGTTGGGGATCGGTTTAGCGTGCGTACGCATATAAACAACAATTCAGCAACAAATAACAGACAATGCCCAATACCCGGGTTCATGTACTACTACCCTCTCTCAAACCCTCCCCCCTCCTCTCATCTCCCCCCCCCCCCCCCTCCACCCACTCACAACTCAGCTTCCATGTTTCTGCCACTCCATTCCCCCACTCTAAGCCCCTCCTGTCGTCATTATGCCCCTCCTTCCCTTTTTCAGCGCATGCGGAACAGTCCACAGCCTATCGTTCCCCCCCCCCCTCCCCTCTTTCCCTCCCTCGTCCCCTTTCCCTCCCTCGTCCCCTCTTTCCCTCCCTCGTCCCCTCTTTCCCTCCCTCGTCCCCTCTTTCCCTTGCTTTGCCCCACTTTCCTTATCTTTTCCCTTCTTCCCCCGTTCTATGCACCCTATTTCCCACACACTGCCTCTTAATCCCTCCCTCGACCCCTTCAGCCATCTCACTGTCCCTTGTTCCCTATGTGCATGGCACCCACACCCATTCACGCTAGACTTACTCGCAGGAGACCTCCTCCATGCGCTCAAGCGTGGCATCGGTGTGATACTCAGCCCGGATAAACTCCTTGTACCAGTCCGACATGATCGTGATGGCATGTCGAATATCGGCGCGCTTGGGGAGGTCGATGATGAGGGGCAGCACTTGCATCATGGCACGGTGCTCCGACGCTGAGAAGCAGGCCGTCGTGGTGAAGTACGGCCATGCGGATGGGAGTCTCAGCAAAGACGCCGGAGTCGCTGCCTTGACAATCTTGTAGCGGCTGCACTTCCGGGATGCAATAAGGGTGTCGGTTTAGGGGGTGTGGGGCAGGTGGGGTGGGTTAGGGAGGGGGGCGGGGGAGGGGTGGGGCTAGCGGGGTGGTCTTGTAGTTAGGTGCATCAGATCGCACCTCATCTCCCCGCTGCCTCTCTCTCAGTGAATCCCTTTCCGTCCTCTGCCCCACTCCCCCAGCCTCTATGCCTCATCATTCCTCTCTCTGCCCCTTGTTCCCTCGCTCTGCCCCATGATCACCTCTCTCCGCCCCTCGTTCTCTCTCTTTCTGCCCCAATTTCCCTTCCTCAGTCCCAATTTCTTTCTCCATGCCCCCAATTTCCTCACTCTGCCCCACTTGCCCTCTCCCAGCCGCAATCTCCCTTACTCTCTGCCCAAATTTACCCCTACATTACCCCCATGTCGTCCCTATGCCCCGAATACACTATTCTGAATCCCGCGTTCACCTCACGCGACCTCCCCCCCCCACCCCCCCCCCTCCTATGCCCCTCCTTCCCGCTAGCAGCCCCACCTTCCTGCTCGCAGCGCCTCCTTCCACCTTTCAGCCCCTCCCTCAACGTCTCTGTCCCAAATTCCCTCTTTCTGCACCACTTCCCCCCTCTCCACCCCGCATTCCTCCAACGTTGCTACAAATTCCCTCACTCTTCCCTCACTCCTTCTAAGCTCCCTAATCTTCACGTCTTGGTACAAGTTTCCGCAGAGCAATTTCGAAGATCGGATCTCATTGCAATGTACTCTTTATGGGATTTCGGGTTCATTAAAATAAGCTTATGTAGGAGACTTGCACGACCTTAGATGTATTTTAAAACTATGTTAAGTTGCCTCAATCTTGCATTCAAAATGAACAGTACAGAAGCTTTGGTAAAAGCTGATAATTCCACCCTAAAGACGCACATAAAACAGCATCCTAAACCCTCTGTGCCTAGTCAGTTAGGTTGAGCTGCATCCTACGACCTGCTTAGCGTGCTCCAGTACACTATGTCTTCCACCGAACCCCATCTCTGGTGCTCTAGGTTGAGCGTGCCCCTGCGTCCACTGCTTTATTGCATGCTCTGCCCTCTCATGCGTCTGCTGCTCCGCCCCTAGCGCTCCCCAGTCTTGCTTTTACTGCTGCTTGCTCCAGTCATGCCTAACCTGCTGCCCCCCTTGTGCACTCCCCTCTATCTGCTCGTGCCTTTTCTGCTGCCCCCCCAACTCTCTCAACTCATGCCTTTTCTGCTGCACCCTCTTGCACTATCTGGTTGCCTTGCTGGTTGCCCACCCTTGGACACTCCTCACATTGTCTCTACTGCTGCCCCCCTTGCTGACTCCACGCTTTTGCCGCCCGTGCTACCCCCCATGCTGACTCTACTTTCTTGCCTAGCGTGCTGCCCCCCTTGCTGTCTCCACCAATGCCTCTACCTCCGTTTTGATGTCTCCTCGCAAGTGTGTGATGCCTATCTTGCTGCCCCCCCTTGTAAACTCCACTCATGCCTCATCTGCTGCCCCCCTTGTTTAGTCGCCCCATCGCTTGACCCTCTTGCCTCCCCGGCATTTGCCACTCTTGTGTCTTTTGCCCCTCCTTCGCTCCTGGCCCCCCCCCTTCTCATCCCCATCCTCATCCTCTTCCTCCTCTTCCACTTCTTCCTCCTCTTCCTCTTCCCTCCTGCTTCCCTTGCCTCCGCCTCTTTTGTGCTTTCTGCCCTTCCTCCTCTCCTGCCCCCTATGATTTTCATCCGCCTGCTCCCCCTCCTCCCCCTCCTCATCCTCTTCCTCTTCCCCCCTGCTTCCTCTGATTTTCCCTCTCTTCTGCCTTCTGCCCTTCCTAAGCTCCCGCCCCCCCCGTTCCACATCCTCCTCCTCCTCTTCCTCATCCTCATCCTCTTGCTCATCCCTCTTGCCTCCCCTGCTTTTGCATCTCTTGTGCCTTTTGCTCTTCCTCCGCTCCTGCCCCCACTGTTCCTCCTCCTCCTCATCCTCCTCCTCCTCCTCCTCCTCCTCCTCCTCCTCCTCCTCCTCCTCCTCCTCCTCCTCCTCCTCATCCTCCTCCTCCTCCTCCTCCTCCTCCTGATCCTCGTCATCCTCCTCGTCATCCGTCTTCAAGTCCTCCGCGTCGTACACCTCCTGCTCTTCCTCCTTCAAGTCCTTCTTCTCCTCGTCAGGCACGGCCTTCCCCTTGAACGCCTCAAATCCTGACTCGTGAACATACAGGCCACGGTTGCCCCACTTGAAGCCCTGCACGACTGTGTTGTACACGGGGGTGTGGCGTGTGAAGTGGTCCTTGATAATCCACCGCACATTTCGGTGCAAACCCGTCATCCACTCGGTGTTCTTGCGGTGGGAGTTCGAGACGTTCCAGTCGGTCTTCTTAACCTTTGCCAAGCCCTGGTCAATCTGAAAAAGCGTAGCAAAGTATGGGAAAGAGGGGAAATAGAGACATATGTGGACACTCGCGTGTAGTGTTCACGGGCTGCGCAAATAGCCCCACATTCCAGTCTGGCGGGCAAGAATTGCAAGCAAAGCTAGAGCGAACTGACGGGAGAGCAATAATGCCTTACCACCATGATTGACCAGGCAATGTGGTAGGCTTTGACGCACACCCGGCGCCCGACACAGAGATTCCGAAATGCTTCCCGGACCGCATCTACAAACCGGCCGTTGGCAAACGGGAGCCCGTCTCTGCTGTTTCCCCACGAGCTGACCCGCTGATTCCCTCCTGCGCGCACGCAGGACAAGGCGGGGACGAAGATCATGCACGACCTGGTTTAGGGGTTGTCCAAAGGGTATGGACGAAGTGGAGGGCGGTATAGAATGAATGGAGGGTTGGCTGGAGGGCAGTAGAGCAGGGAAGGGCGGGAGAGAAGGGGAGGGCAGGAGAGAAGGGGAGGGCAGGGGAGAGGGGGAGGGCAGGAGAGACATGGAGGGCGGGATAGAAGGGGATGGCTGAAGAGAAATGGAGGGAGGGAGAGAACGGGATGGCGGGAGGGAAGGGGAGAGGTGTAGATTAAAGGGGGGGCGGGAGAAGGGGACAGTGGGAGAAGAACCAACGTTAAGCTGTCATGCGGATGTGACTGCACATGCGCTACAAGGCTGGGCAAGGAGAGCAGGTATGTAGTTGCGTGCCACAGTGGGGATGCATTAGGGTAAGTTGTTCATCATCGTCACGAGGGGTGCACGAGCAGATGAAATGAATGGTGAAGTAAAACAGAAACGCGCGTACTCACTCGGTTGGTATTTTCTCCACATCTTCTTCTTCTTCTTGGTGCCCATCCAGAGATCGGCTGCACGCAGGCCTTGCACATTCTTGCCGAAAGTTACAAGCACTCTGCGCTTGAGGTGGAAGCCACGATCGTTCTTCCATGACGTCCAAGCGCGTTTGAAGCCGTCGACGATGTTTTTGTCTTCCATAGCCTCTCGCAGCTGCATCAGCTTAATTATGTGCGTCTCGCTGATAACCTGATACAAAACCTGAAGGCGCTGTTCGAGCGTTGGGTAGAAGTCTATGGCAACGTCTGGCCATTCTAGGCACATCCGGTCCCGCCCCACGGCGAAATGAACCTATGACGGACGGGTGGATTGGAAACGTAAAATTGAGTGATGCCTCCGAATGAAGGGCGGAATTCAGAGGTTGAGAGAGAGGGCTGTTGCCATCACTGCGCCGCATGGCTCGCATACCAACAACAGCACCATGAACATGGGCTCTAGAAGAGGTGGTGGAGGGATGGGAGAGAGGGTGCAGGGAGAGGAAGGATAGCTGCTATGGTGAGCGATCACTCCGCCGCATGACACCCACCCCACCACCAGCACCATGAACAGGAGCTCTGGTTGAGGTAGGGGAGCGATGGTAGAGTGAGAGGGGAGAGAGGGGGGATAAAATAGTCAGAGCGAAAGACGGGAGAGTAGGCAGAGTGAGAGGGCACCGTACGCCCAGCGCGAGGGTTCATGTTCTCCTCGTACGAGGAGTCTCAACTTCCACTGCAGCCACCCCCCTGCACGCTACGCCGCATGCCACACGCGTGACCAGCAGCACCTTTTACAGTGGCTCTGGACGAGGAGGGAGAGGGACGGGATAGAGAGGGGAGGGAGGAGCGGCGGACAGAAAGGGGGCCGCGTGGGATTGACGGATACGGCTTCCTCTATTCCCTCCGCCGCATGACACCCACACCACCCCCAGCACCATGAACAGGGGCTCTCGCAGAGGGAGGGGAGGGATGGGAGAGAGAGGGGAGTGAGATGAAGGATGACTGCTATGCTTAGCTATCCCTCCGCCGCATGACATGTATTCCACAACCACACCCAGCACCATGAACATGGGCTCTCGCAGAGGGAGGGGAGGGATGGGAGAGAGAGGGGAGTGAGATGAAGGATGACTGCTATGCTTAGCTATCCCTCCGCCGCATGACACCCACACCACCCCCAGCACCATGAACATGGGCTCTCGCAGAGGGAGGGGAGGGATGGGAGAGAGTGGGGAGTGAGATAAAGGATGACTGCTATGCTTAGCTATCCCTCCGCCGCATGACACCCACACCACCCCCAGCACCATGAACATGGGCTCTCGCAGAGGGAGGGGAGGGATGGGAGAGAGGGGGGAGGGATGGGAAGGATAACTGCTGCGATTTACGATCACTCCGCCGCATGACACCCACCCCACCACCAGCACCATGAACAGGAGCTCTGGTTGAGGTAGGGGAGCGATGGTAGAGTGAGAGGGGAGAGAGGGGGGATAAAATTGTCGGAGCGAAAGACGGGAGAGTAGGCAGAGTGAGAGGGCAACGTACGCCCAGCGCGAGGGTTCATGTTCTCCTCGTACGAGGAGTCTCAACTTCCACTGCAGCCACCCCCCTGCACGCTACGCCGCATGCCACACGCGTGACCAGCAGCACCTTTTACAGTGGCTCTGGACGAGGAGGGAGAGGGACGGGATAGAGAGGGGAGGGAGGAGCGGCGGACAGAAAGGGGGCCGCGTGGGATTGATGGATACGGCTTCCTCTATTCCCTCCGCCGCATGACACCCACACCACCCCCAGCACCATGAACAGGGGCTCTCGCAGAGGGAGGGGAGGGATGGGAGAGAGGGGGGAGGGATGGGAAGGATAACTGCTGCGATTTAAGATCACTCCGCCGCATGACACCCACCCCACCACCAGCACCATGAACAGGAGCTCTGGTTGAGGTAGGGGAGCGATGCACGAGTGAGAGTGGAGAGAGAGGGGATTAAATAGTCAGAGCGAAAGACGGGAGAGTAGGCAGAGTGAGAGGGCAACGTACGCCCAGCGCGAGGGTTCATGTTCTCCTCGTACGAGGAGTCTCAACTTCCACTGCAGCCACCCCCCTGCACGCTACGCCGCATGCCACACGCGTGACCAGCAGCACCTTTTACAGTGGCTCTGGACGAGGAGGGAGAGGGACGGGATAGAGAGGGGAGGGAGGAGCGGCGGACAGAAAGGGGGCCGCATGGGGTTGACGGATACGGCTTCCTCTATTCCCTCCGCCGCATGACACCCACACCACCACCAGCACCAGGAACAGGGGCTCTCGCAGAGGGAGGGGAGGGACGGGAGAGAGAGGGAAGTGAGATGAAGGATAACTGCTATTCTTAGCTATCCATCCGCCGCATGACACTCACACCACCACCAGCACTAGGAACAGGGGCTTTGGGAGAGCTAGGCGAGGGATGGGAGAGAGGGGGGAGGGATAGGAAGGATAACTGCTACAATGAGCTATCCTTGCGCCGCGTGCCACCCACACCAGCACCAGCACCATGAACAGGGGCTCTGGTTTAGGGTGGGAAGGGATGGGAGAGAGGGGCCAATGAGGATGGATAACTGCTATGGTGAGCTCTGGGTCGCGGGCAGAATGTGAGAGCATCGTACGCCCAGCGCCACGTCCCTGAAGCGAGGCGTACTGGGAATGCCTATCCCACTGCAGACTTGCCGCTATCACTGCGCATAATGCCACAAACACGCTTACCAGCAGCAAGAGGGGTTGAGAGAGAGAGCTGCAGCTATCACAAAGCCCCATGCCACACATTGTTTAACACTAAAACAATCTCACCTTCAGCAGCTTGGGCATCCCACGCGTTCGACGGACCGGTACGTCTACCGTCGCTGGGCTTTCTGGCGCCACGTCTGGATCGAGGCCCCCTATAGATGGGCCGCTCGACAGAGATGCTAGAGGAGGAGGCCTAGATGGAGGGGTGCAGGGCTTGACAGCTCCTTTTGATCCTGGCCTTGCCTTGAGTGCAGCGATTTCGCGATCCCGCTGGGCAAGCTCTCGCATGAGCTGCTCCACAGTCCTGCCGCCAGCCACATCCGGCCGACTGGATGCGCCAGGTGTGCCCATGCTCTCTCCCCTCCCCTCCTTAGTCGCCGGATCCATTTTTTCGTCCCCCCCTTCTCCCCTGCTCTCCCGTACATCCCACATGGAGCCTTCCACACCGCCGCCACATTCGCCCAAGGCATTCGCCCACACACCTCCTCCCACACCGTCATTCGCTGCTGCAGCTACCGAGGGTTCGTGCCGCTTCGTTGCCCCCTCGTTCTTCACATGAACCGCGCGACCCCCCATATGGTTGGGGGGCGGGTCCGTCGCTTCTTTGCCAAACCGCGCTGACCCCCAAGCCATCTGATCTCCCTTCCCAGCCGAACCCATCAGATCGCGTAACGCAGCGTACGGGTCCGCGGCTTGCCGTTCATGAGAGCTTGATGGACATCGTATCCCCATTGATTCGTAAAAATTCAACTCCCGCTTCGCCTTGCTACGCACACCCACTATTTTAGCTTCGAATCGAGGTCTCTGGCGCTTGCCATGTGGTTTGGCACGACGCACACTCTGTTTACAGATCTTCACCCGTCCCCTCTCCGATTTTTGCTTAGCGTTGCCCTTCTTGAGCTTCCGCACACTCCTCCTCTTCAAAGGCCGAGCCTCCTCCCCATCCTCGCTCTCCGGCTCCAACTCCTCATCATCCTCGTCCTCCTCCTCCTCAACCTCGTCCTCGTATACCTCCTCACTCCCAGATGAGCTGCCCGACTCACTGTCACTCGAATCTTCCTCGGAACCAGACGAGCTCGAAACGTGCACATTGGGGCCGTGCCGAGCTTGTCTCGCCTTATGGTCGCAACTGCCCGGATCCACAGCCTTGCGCCGTTGGTAGGGAATCACAGCTTCACGTCCACCTTTCCCATCATTCACAGCTGCTGGCTCGTCCTCATCATGATCGTTAACGCCACGGCATGCAGGCACGGCATGATCCTTCTCGTCGCCACCATCCGCATCCTGCGACTGCCTGCCCGAGGGACCGCCCTTAGCCGCGGCAGCCCTGCCGCCGTTGCGCATGCCGCCACCACGAGCTTCCGGCTCGGCATGATCCTTCTCGTCGCCACCATCCGCATCCTGTGAGCCCGAGGGACCGGCCTTGGCCGCGGCAGCCCTACCGCCGTTGCGCATGCCGCCACCACGAGCTTCCGGCTTGGCATGATCCCCCTCGTCGCCACCATCTGCATCCTCCGACTGCCTGCCCGTGGGACCGCCCTTAGCCGCGGCAGCCCTGCCGCCGTTGCGCATGCCGCCACCACGAGCTTCCGGCTCGGCATGATCCTTCTCGTCGCCACCATCCGCATCCTGTGAGCCCGAGGGACCGGCCTTGGCCGCGGCAGCCCTACCGCCGTTGCGCATGCCGCCACCACGAGCTTCCGGCTTGGCATGATCCCCCTCGTCGCCACCATCTGCATCCTCCGACTGCCTGCCCGTGGGACCGCCCTTAGCCGCGGCAGCCCTGCCGCTGTTGCGTATGCCGCCACCACGAGCTTCCGGCTCGGCATGATCCTTCTCGTCGCCACCATCCGCATCATGCGAGCCCGAGGGACCGCCCTTGGTCGCGGCAGCCCTGCCGCCGGTGCGCTTTCCGCCACCACGAGCTTCCGGCTCGGCATGATCCCCCTCGTCGCCTCCATCCGCATCCTGCGACTGCCTGCCCGAGGGACCGCCCTTGGCCGCGGCAGCCCTGCCGCCGTTGCGCTTTCCGCCACCACGAGCGCGTTGGCCTGCCGTCCCATCTGCGAAGGCGGACATGACAGGTACATAAGAAATACTGTGCACACATTATCTTATTGGCAGGAAGTTGCAGCATGACATGCGGCGTCATTGTTATGAGTAACGTGCAAAATATAAACCGTCGATATCACACCCACAGCGTACCTAAGCTGTCAGGTCCCCCGTCTTTGCCCTCCTCGTCGCCTTCAGACGCAGACGTTTCCTCACGATGTGAACGAGTGCCTCTTTTTCTTGGACGGTGCTTACGCCCCCCCCGGTCGTCACGCTTGTCCGCTATCGCTGATGTGGAAACACAATTGGAGAGACGATAACCTCCAACAGGCCAGACACGACTACAAGCATCAATTCATGCATACAAGTAGAATATTCCGCATCTGCGACCATAAACACATACCTTTCTGGCCGCCTTTGGGAACGAGATCATCTAAGCGCTTCACGCGCTTATCCCTTGGTTTCGAAGCGGATGATATGCCCTTGTTTGCGTATGGCTCCACATCGCAGTCGCTATTCGATTCGTCACCGGATGACGAGACACGTCTGGAATCAACAACATCTCGCGCCGTCGATGCATTATTTTTGCGATACTCGATTACGAGCTCGACCGTCTTATCTGCTGTTACTAACTCCGCAAACTTTGTTTCGTCGGGGGCTTTTGTCGATTCAGCCAGTACGATCGCCCCCTCGGGCCCCTTCATTGTCTGACTTCCTTGTTACCATGTCTAGCTTTCCATTCACGCAGTACTATGAGGTTGCGGGTTGTGCTACCGCCTAGAACCTGACAGCAGTCTACGAGCATAAAAAAATGGTTGAGGAGGGAGAGGGACGAGGCAAAGTCTGGGGCCTAGAGCAGACGATCGTCACAGCTGGAGGCATGCAAGGGGAGCACGGAGGTGATGAGGGTTTGAGTGTTTCCAGCTATGGTGCACGTTGCGACTGCCAGGTCCTCCTTTTCCGCCCTCAACCAATCGCCTGGTGGTTGAGGTGTATAAAGGAAAAAAATGCAGCACTGCCGTGTTAAGATTCTGTGGGACCTAACGTGCTTAATTGAGTATCAGTCCACAAGCGGCAGGGTGGGCTTCTTTTTGTTAAACCTGACAGTCAAATGCGCTACTGTATCTGGGTTTGCGAGGGTCATAATTATTCTGCCCGGGCTGTCGTACTGTTTACAATGAAGTGCCTCGCGTGCCACACAAACCTACACAAGCTGCACGTCAAGAGTCACATAGGGTCTGCGGAGAAACGGCGACGCTCGATCGCAGCAAGTCGTACAGCGATGCGACAGGTCGACACGAAGCCGTTGCGGCACGCCTGCGATAAAAACGCAAACTCAAAAGTTCCTTGTGTGTGGTTGCGACTGGTTCGCAAATCAGGGAGATTCGCGTACGTGGCATAGCGTGGAGTCGAGTGGAATGGCGCAGGGCGGGGCACGTAATGGCACATTAGTTTGCAAAGCCTCAATAGTGTGGTGTACGTAAATGATAAAAATAGAATTAGGGGGTTATGGAGTTGTAAGGAAAATCTCGTTTTCCTTACTTCGCATCCCTGCTCAACGCGTCCATCACTGTAGCACCTCAGTCAGCACCGTTACCACTCGCATCGACAATCCGCCCCCCACTTTCGCACGTCGCACCCCGACCTCACGGCTCGGCGGTAACCCGCGCTCCGGACCTTCGCCTCGACATTTTCCCAACCTCAGTGCCATGCCCGTCGCGCGACAACCACAGTCCATTACCGTTACCACTGTGGTTTCGCTATATAACCTTTCGCTCATACCTTCGCTCAGTTGTACTTTTTTCCCGATAGTGCAATCCTCGTTCGCTCACTCAATTGCACTCGTAACAGGAGTCCCCCTAACCCATTAGCATAGTGACAAGTATGCAACATAACAGTGTAAAACCAAACACCACCTTCACAGAACATGTACATAACGGTCTGCGGTGGAGCAGTCATTCTGATACATCGATTGATTAGTAAGTACGCATTATTTGATTGCTGCCTGGTCGTTATGCAACGCGTATGGGCATGTCTCCTCTCATGCCAATTGAGGTGCAATAATACGGTAATAGAGCCAGACACAAACTCCCCGTATGGGGCATGGCTGCTCTCATGCCATACAGGGCAACCTTTATGCAGGGACCCAAGACCATGCTGTGTTGTATGTTCTAGGTTCATGCTGGAACGGAGTTGAGAAACCCCTGCTGTTCTACCCACTAGAGTTGTGGCGACATGCAGGTATGTTTTGCAGCATCACACCGACCCATTGTGTATTGTTTGTATACATGTCAAGCAGGAACGCCAGTGACAAACACTTCCCTACGGGTAGTGTTCTCTAGACATGGAGGACTGGTTGTGGCCAACACTCTCATTTGGCCACACTTGTTGTCAAGTCATGCAGGACTGATTCAAGGCCTCTCCATTGCGCTTTGTGTCATGTTTGTTGGCATATCAAGCTGGCAGGACGGATGAACAAACAATTCCGTATTGATCTTGTCCTCATTCCCCCATGCTACCCGCTTCCTTGTTCTTCACTCACACACTTATTCCTCCCATGTACCCGCCTCACTCCCTCCTGCTTCCCGCCTCATTACCTCTGCTTCCCGCCTCATGTCCCCTCGCTTCCGGCCTCATCCCCCCTTGCTAGCCACCCCATTCCCCCTTGCTTCCCACCCCATTCTTCACTTCTACCCTCCTCATTCTCCCTTGATACCCTCCCCATTCCCCCTTGCTTCAGGCCTCATTCCCCCTTGCTTCGGGCCTCATACTCACTTGCTACCTCCCTCATTCCCCCTTGCTTCAGCTCCTCGTCCCCCTTGCTTCCCGCCTCATTCTCCCTTGCTACCCCCCTCATTCCCTCTGCTTCCCGCCTCTAGTCCCCTCGCTTTTGGCCTCATTCCCCCCTGCTACCCACCCCATTCCCCCTTGCTTCCCACCCCATTCTTCATTGCTACCCTCCTCATTCTCCCTTGATACCCTCCCCATTCCCCCTTGCTTCAGGCCTCATTCTCCCTTGCTTCAGGCCTCATTCCCCCTTGCTTCGGGCCTCATACTCCCTTGCTACCCCCCTCATTCCCCCTTGCTTCAGGCCCCAATTCCCCTTGCTTCCCGCCTCATTCTCCCTTGCTACCCCCCTCATTCCCCTTTGCTTCCCGCCTCATGTCCCCTCGCTTCCGGCCTCATCCCCCCTTGCTAGCCACCCCATTCCCCCTTGCTTCCCACCCCATTCTTCACTGCTACCCTCCTCATTCTCCTTTGCTACCCTCCCCATTCCCCCTTGCTTCAGGCCTCATTCCCCCTTGCTTTGGGCCTCATACTCACTTGCTACCTCCCTCATTCCCCCTTGCTTCAGGCCTCATTCCCCCTTGCTTCGGGCCTCATACTCACTTGCTACCTCCCTCATTCCCCCTTGCTTCGGGCCTCATACTCCCTTGCTACCTCCCTCATTCCCCCTTGCTTCAGAGCCGCGTCCCCCTTGCTTCCCGCCTCATTCTCCCTTGCGACCCCCCTCATTCCCTCTGCTTCCCGCCTCATGTCCCCTCGCTTCCGGCCTCATTCCCCCCTACTACCCACCCCATTTCCCCTTGCTTCCCACCCCATTCTTCACTGCTACCCGCCTCATTCTCCCTTGCTTCAGGCCCCATTCCCCCTTGCTTCGGGCCTCATTCCCCCATGCTTCCCGCCTCATTCTCGCTTGATACCCGCCCCATTACCAGCTTTATCACCGCCGCCTGCCCCACCTCCAACCTCCAACATTGTTTTTGCCCGAAAATACACAGACCACTTCCTCAAATCGTGACGGTACTGACGGCGCCAATGGAGTGGCGTCCCTACAAGCTCACACGCCGGTAGTTTATGGAAACCATCCTCGACCAACGTGTGCATCACACGCATCGTGAACACACCACAGTCGTTCTCATTTGCCTGCACGGGTATCTGGACAATCACAGGGTGCGTGAGCGCGTGGTGAGGGCCGGGATGGGAGTGGGGTTTCGGTGTGGAAATTGCGTGCAGGGAAAGGGAGATGCGATTGTTTCAAAGCTCGTACACACAAGGCAACAGCACTCACCGTGACCTGCCTTAGTGGGATGCTCGCCGCCCATGCATCTGCGTCCGACTCACTGATCCATGCACAGTATCTTAACACCTCGTTTCGCAAGTACCTACACACCGGGAGACATAGATTCAATGCTATCGTAACCCCGAACTTCTGTACGTGACAATAGCAGACTGCCCTTAAAAAGAGAGTACCTTCGCAACGGGGCATCGACACCGGCATGCGTGCCGTACGAGTCAGCGTGCCAGAGCACGCAGTTCATGGGAATCGAGTCGTCGGGCCTCGGGATGCGCTCGATCACGATCAGGCTCCAGTAACTCCTAAGGCACACATGAGGTCTAACATCAGTAACGCCGATGTTAGACTACCGAAATACATGTGGTGCTACGGCTAGACGCGACGACTACTCACTCGGTATTTATCGGAACGAGTACATATGTGAAATCGAAAATACCTAGGCCAAAAGTATAGGCGTTTTCACGCCGCGAAATGTCCTTCTTAGCATATTCCCAGAAATATGATCCACTGTAAAGCCATTTGTTGCTGTCGCGACCGTGTTCGTACTGTAGCATCCTGCGCACGCGCGTATTTGCGACAAAGGAAACGCATGAGATAACCGTGACGAATCTGGCCTTTTGATTTCCCAACCGTGATACTCACACACCGAGCCAATCAATTACGATCCCGCTGACCCATTCACCGGGTCGTAGCCTGTCGGCGTGTTCCACGTTTATGTCGAGCCAGCCTCCGCCGTAGGGAAAGGGCATAGAAATCGGCTGAAAGGACAGCTTACCATCTAAACACGGTAGAGCCATGGCTAGGAATTTGACGACCCTAGGATGCGTGTGGCACTAGGGATAATTTGGAGGACGAGCACCGAACTGGAATTTGGGCTTCAGCAGTCACGACACTATGAGTCAAGAGCAGCCGCGAAGGTTGTTACACTAGTCGTCAAATTTCACTAAAG